GGGGGGTATTTTTTAAAACTTTTTTATTTAGTTGTAAAGTGCATAGGGCATGCTGTAGAATGTGGATATGCGTTATATATAAATGTGAGGCAGCGTGGTGGAATCAGGCTCTCGTCAGAATAATCAAAGTGAAGAAACTTGCATTTTTTTGCAGGTTTGTGAATTTTAGTCAAATTTTCGTTTTTTTGGCTCAACACCTTTCATGCCCATTAAAGAACTCATTTCTGTGTGGATTTTTCTGAAAAACGCTGTTTAAAGGTACAATACATGTAAACTTTCAGTTGCCACGGACTCTTAAGCTTAGGAAATAACTGATCTTTGGCGGCCATTTTCTCACTAATTTTACCTCTGAAAACAGGTGACCCCCACCTCCTTTATATGCAAATATCTCGACTTGTATTCAAGACAAATGGATACTTTTTTCATCCAAATAAAGACAAGTGAACAAGCTTTAAGATGATAACAACTTTACATGTCCAAAAATTGACGAGAGCCTGATTCCACTACGCTGCCTCAAAAATACAGTTATTATCATTATTATTATTATTATGATCATAATTATTATGATTATTTTTATTTTTATTTTTTTAGGTTGTCGGTATTGTTGTTTTGTTTGCTATTCCTAGGAGCTTCATGGCTCCTGGTCCCTTGTCTCCTTGTTCTGCTCTGTGACTCGATGGCACGCGAACAAACAAACCCGAGATTAGAGGAGTTTGGGCTTACGGGAGATGTCACCAAGAGATGTCTGAAAGGGTTAGTGGCTAGTGGATATTGTTGTGGTGGTGTGTGGCTTGCGCCTTCTGCTTCCTTTCAGAGTTACTGTGTGTTGTCCAGATGCGCTGTTCCTGGGGGGCTGCGCGTGAATGTGCTGCTGTTTCGTCGTTTACTGCTAGCGCAGTGACTTGACAAAGATTGGAGAGTATTGTTTGGGTTACAAAAAGTGGCGGGTGTGATGGAAGAAATTAGCTGTGCCTTGTTACCAGTGATTTCAGAAAGAGGAAGCCCTCCTGGGTTTTTTTTCTGATTATGTGACCCTTCACTTTTTCAGTGATAATACCCTTCTTACAATTAATGTGATACTAGTTTTTTCAAGTTTCAATTTGGAAATCTGACCTGAGGGTTAAGCGGCGTTCCTATTTAACTCGGTCAGCTCCTTCGTTTTGTATTTTGACTCTGTGATTCTGTACAGTGGTGAAGTCTTCCATGCTGTGTGTGTGTGTGTGTGTTTGTCTACCAGTGTGTTTTGGCAAAGCGATGGAAGGACACCTTGATCTGTCAGA